TGCATTCTCACTATGAAAATGAAAAACAAATAGGCTCCTTATGTAATGCCCCAATTTTTTTCTATAAACATCGAAACGTTACCAAAAACTCACTTTTCTTTATTTTAAATGCGGAACTATATAAAAAAATTCTTTAATAATCAAATAAATGCAATATTTATAAATCTAAATTTGAAAATATGAAAATCGTATCTAAACATAAATATGAACTCTTAGCAAATTCAAATATCACATTCTGAATAAATTAAACTGACTGATAAATTTTAAATACGACAAATTTATTTCTTTTCCTTTATCGACTTGGCAGCCCGCATCACCAATTCGCCACTATTCCAATCAATCCGGACTAACCTGTAAAATTAATGTAAGAGTGAGTATTTTAAAATACCCAGTAAAATAAGTGCAATTTCCATACACCATTACATAACAAATAAATTATACACTTCATAACGCTCTTCTCTTATGGAGTATATCGGTGACCAAGCGACACACCCATTTTAAATCCTCTTAAATTCCCTTAGAAATATCATATCTCTTTCTCTAGAACTCGAAGGTCCACTAGTAATCCATGCATATTAATTGTATATAAGAGTATAAGGAAAATGTAAAACACTTAACACATAAATGTATCTTACCTCGTTTTTAAAAAAAATTTGAAATACGTTGAAAATCTTTCCTCCACCTTGAAAGTACGTGATTAAAATATTTGATATTTCCCAAGCTATTCTCTCTCTCTCTCTCTATCCCCCTTTCTCTCTCTCTTTTTCTTTCTTCTCTCTTTTTCACGTGTGAATACTTTTGGTGTGGTAAAATATGAGATCCTTGCCTAGTATTTATAGTAATAAAAAGTGGTTGAGTTATTCTAAAAAACATGTATCATGAGTCGAGATAAGGTTGAATTTAATTAGTAGAATTAGATTGAATCACCAAAGTTTAGCCTAATCATATACTAAGGATTAATATTAAACCAAAAAAAAGATTAATAATTTAATATAAACATTACCCATTTTCAGAAAGAGGAAAATAATAGGATTATAACTATATAAAATTTCATTTATCTTATTTTCTTTCAATTGGGTATAACTTAATACGATCTTATCCAAAATAACTTTTCTCGAGCCATATACTTCTAATTAATTACGACCTTTGAAATGAGTCCAATATTGATATACATTTCATTACTTTATCAAAATCCAATTATTTGACCACAAATATATAATATATTAATATTTATTTCACCTTAATCCCTCACCTTTGAAATAATATAATATATAAAATAAATAATATATTCATTTAAAAAAAGTAAAAATCGGAATGTTACACCTTACGTGTCAATTAACCCTTCTTAAGTTTTGCCACCTAAGATTTGCACTCATGTATTGCCCTTTATTAAATTGAAACCACGTTTCTTCCCTTCATTCGTCCCAAATTCTTTTCTTCCTTACCGAGTCCTAACTGACCCTTTTATTCTCCTCCAACAAAAGTGTCAAACTCATACTTCGGGAAGAGGAACAAGGTGACCTACAGACTACAAGACCCGTTAATGGCAGGCATTGAAGAGACCATTTTGGAGACAATAGAAGAGGGACCACAGGTAGGTAAAAATTTTGTGTTTCACATGATTTTCTTTTTGTCTTGAGGGATGGTAATTTGGGTTTCACGTGAATTTTTTTTGCCTCATTTTATATGATTTTCAGATTTATAAGTGTATAACACTTGTTGAATTTCGGTAGGGAAAAATGTTATATGCGTTTCACATGAATAAGTAAATTTTATTACAAACATTGAAAATATACAGGAAAAATTTACTTTTTTATATGATTCTCAATAATTATTTTCCTGTATATAACACTTCACAATATGAAATACCCGAGGTTATGAAAATTCACATTTATAAGTGTGACTAACCACTCATAAATTAGCCCACAACTTCCTAAAATTTTATAAAAATATTATTTGAAGTTCTCCCATATGCGTTGTTTCTACATTGTAGTCATTATAGAGTTATATAATCACAATACTTGGTACTTTGCAAATAATACATTTGAAGATGATGCAGAAGTACCAATTGAATGTCATTTGAGTGATTCAGACGATAATGTAAATGATGATGGTTTTCAAGTTGACAATAATGCAAGTGAACATATTTTGGTTGGATTGAATGCAGACCCTGTCGTCGAACTTCAGACTACTGGGGAAGAAGTTATGGGATCAGATGGTGGTTACTGCCCAAGTGAAGAGGACTTGCATACTGATTATTCTTCCAGTGAAGAAAAGACTTATCATTTCCTGACATATGATCTAGAGAATGAGAAGTTAGATTCTCAGCTGGAGGTTGGAAAACAGTTTTAAAATGTAGAGGAGTTTAAGCAAGCAGTTAGGAACCACAAGATAGCAATCAGGTGCAACTTTAAGTTTAGGCCTAATGATGAGTTTAGAGCCCAAGCCATTTATAAATTAGGCTGTACATGGAAGATATGGACATCATGGAATAAAAAAGGGGTGTGTGTGGATAAAGTCTAAAAACTCAGAACATAAACGTATAGAACAAATAGGCATTGCACTGCCAAATATATAACAGAGATGTATTTTGCAATTAATATCTTTTTGGTACAATAGTTGAATGCTGTGAAGTGGAATTAATTTGATGTAACGTTGAACTTGATCAGATGCACTTAGAATGGGATTTTGATATAAATTTGTTGTTCTAGTAATAAGACAAAACTACCATATACCAACAAAGTGACAAGATTAGTTCTCTTAAGCATCATTTTCAGCTATAATGTATGCTTTTTCTATGAAATGCAGAGCCTTGACTTTGTTTCCCTTATCAAATTATGTAGTGCATCTTAATATTAATTTACAAATGTGTCCTTGATTGAACCCAGGATACAGGGACCTATATTCGACTATTATCCTACAACCATACTTGATTTCAAATAACACAAGCACAAACTAACATAATTAACTAGCCAAACAAATTTAACAAAATAAAAAATAATAATAAAAAAGATACTGGACTAGAATCGAGAATACATTTAATAGTCATAATTTAACCATATTAGAAATTGAAATTCTAAAATACATCAAGTTTGAACAGCTACTTTCCATTCAATTTGAAATTGTAAAATACATCAGGTTTCCTTCGAAGATTTCACAACCATCAACACTAATACACCTATCATTACAGCCATTGAGCTGAAATAGAACACCATAAACATTCCTACACCATTAATGTACTTCCTACAAAACCACCAACCTACCAACTACATACTCAAAAAGTCACAACAACATTTAATTCGCTTTTCCAACAATTTCCTATCTAAGATAAGATCTGATTTCTTGATGAGCGATGAGGAGCTTTAACTGGGCTTCTTCTACAGACTGCAAGAAGTCCAAGCATTTATCTTCTCCTTGCATGTGATAAAATAAATCATTAGGTATTAAATTGTGCAATTCTTTTCCTTCACTGAAATTCCACAGATAGAAAAGTAGATATCAACACAAGACAAGTTGCTATACAACAAGAACAAAAAAATTGACATCACTATTGAATTCAGGAGCAGAACAAAAACCCTATAATGTAAATTTACTAAATCTTTCTAAGCATCTTCCTGCTAAAAACATTATTATTTCTAAAGCATGGTTCCCATTTAAGTAGTTGTCACTACCTCCATATAACAAAAGGAAAAAACAACACACAATTAAATAAATGGCGTAGAAGAAAATCCCAGTCAAAACAGTTAGGAGAAAATCTCAGTCAAAACAATTAAACAAATAATGCAGAAGAAAATCCTCAAGTGTAGATGGTGGATGCACAGGTGATTTCGGTTCTTTTTTTGCTTGGAAGAAATCGATTAAAATAGTTAGGAGAAGAAATGTGTTCACAATTTAAGAGATTGTTCCTTTTTTTGATTTTGATTTAGAGATTGAATCTTGATTTTGAGAGAAATCAATTTGTGTGGGAGAGAAGAAATTGGTTCACAATTAGGGCTTGTAAAGAATTGGGGATGAATGTGGGAAGAAACTTGATTTTCAATTTAATGAAGGAAAATACGTGAGAGCAAATTCCAGGTGGCAAAACTGAACGGGGTTAATTGACATGTAAGATTTTCATCCGTCACGTGTCATTTTTTGTCCAAGTAGGCAGATGGAAGCAATCGGGCGATGGATGAGTACCTCTTTGTAAAAGTTAGTGAGCAGTCGGTAATATTTTATTTTATGGTGAACAAGTAGTAACCAGTTAGTGAGCAGGGATTTAATTAACTCGGCAATATTACATTCAATTTTTTGCGTATGAACTTCGCACGTTTACTTTGAATCTCCCTCTTCCGTTTTTCCCAAGCTGGTACGATTTGCTGCATAAGTTGTAATAACCATTCATATAACACTCTAAATTTTTTTATTCTCTATTTTTTTTTTCCTTGTTTAGGTTAAGGATAATCTTTAGAACAAAAGAGACCCCACCTTTGTGGTAATATTAAAAATATATAAATTTCATGTTTAATAAGCCACCATTTGACCTCCATTATTTGGATTTATAATGGGGGGAATATAGTTTTTTTGAAAAATGAATGGTTATAAAAGAATGAAAAGTTTTTGATTTGCGTAAAATATTATTTTATTGAAATTTGTGTGGTTGAAAATAGGAAAAATGAAAATTTAAATTAAATTAATGAGTTTTAAAGGGAGGTAAACGGGGGCTAAATATAATCATTCATATTTCTAATGTTGAATTCAAGCATGATCACCTTAAAAATTATCAATGATTAAGCCAGCGTTTGATACTCATTTTAATTAGGCTTTTTTTTTTTTTTTTTTTTTTTTTTTTTTATTTTTTTTTTTTTTTTTTTTTTTTTTTTTTTTTTTAACAGCAACTCATTTTTATATCGTATTTAGCATGTAACACCTAACCACTCGATCAGGTGTTAGAGATTTATACAGAAATGATAATGTCGTTGAGACTATTGGACTAATTTGTCCTTAAATGTACTGGAAAATGTATGCGTTTGGCCTCACCATTTAACCCTATGGTTTTCATTCTCGCTTCCTATTACGCCGCTTCTCCAACTAGTATACTCCACAACGATGCTTTTAGATGGAACCCAAACTCAGTCGAACATCTCTGTTGCGTATTCCACCTGAGACCAACCGCCAGTATCATAGCCCAGTCGCCAGGCACTTTCTCTCCATGCCCATGTCGCCTCCCTTCACCCCTTCTCCGCCGAGCTACTCATAACTTTCATCTTCCGTGCCTCAGTTTTCCACCGGTGACCACAACAGAAAAGAAAAGACCTTAAAGATGGCAAACAAAGAATTCCTGTGGCACTATTATCCCAAACACATGGAAAGCAGGTTCATCTCTAATATTCTGCCCCAAATCTTCGTATGGTTTGATTTTATCTTCCTCTGGTTCGAATTAGTCCATCTTCCATGGAAATAAGTGTTTTACGTCCGTGGTTTGTGTTATGATATTCTCAACAATTTCAATTTCTCACGTACTGGCAGTGCGTTCATGTGGTAAGATTAGGCCACAAACGAATAGATGTCATTATGTGCCAACGTAGAAATGATTTGTGCTTCGTTTTTTGAATTGTGAGCTTATCATTTTGCACATTTCCATTGCAATATAGTATTGGTAGCCCAGACCACTTCGATCGTGCATCGTCACACCCGTAGAAGCTCCAGCCTGTTGTCCGTAAGTCTGAAAAATGGGACCCGCCAAAGTACAAAATCTTCATTGCCACCTGTGAAATTGTCAATGCCGAAGGTGACGAGGCAAATGCTTCTTGATAAAAGGATGACACGTATCAATGAATTGTTCAATAGCTCCGTGGGAAAAGAATTGGAAAACCTATTGAAATAAACTGCGAACGGAGCACAAGCAACTCTTCGAGCTGCTGCAATGCATTGGTATTAAGTACCTCTCGGACACGGGTAAAATCGTAGCCCCTGAGCAGTGGTGGAAAGCGAGACTGAGATACCGAGTTGTTTTCCCTGAGGATTATCCCACTAATACATTACTTTGTTTTTGAAATGTACATCAACAATATTTCCATTCAAAATCAACAAGTCATTTCATCCATGCATTTGTTCGGGTACAAAAACTGCTTGATTTATGCTGTGAGTAGATGTTACAAAGCATATCACGTTTAAGTACTTAGTCGAAAATATTGTCGTTTCTATTTCTCTGAGTTCGTTACTTTCAAGATAAAATCGTTTGTCCCTACTACTTGAGGTTACTGAAATGCATTGTGTGAAACGTGTTCTTGTGCATCAAACCTTCCCCAAATGTGTATGTACATATGTTGATTGGCTACTTGTATTTTCAGAATACCATTGGTCAATTATGTGCTATGGAATCGAATGCCTCAACATTTTTAGTTTTAACCTTGTTACTACAAACATATCTCTCGAAATCAAAAACATGTGCAAAATGAAAACTAGAGAATTTACGTTTTTCAGAGCTGAGCTATCGAAATCACTAATAATTTACATTTTCTAGAGCTAGCAATAATTCACAAATACATTATTGCTTTGTTTCCTACGTTCCACTCCATTTCCCTTTATGTCCTGCACGAGGAATGTTAACACTGTTATGTATCTTTTTTCGTTGTCTAAACGTTATTTCTCGTGCTCCTCGTTAATTTAGGAGAACCGAAAATATGCGAAGTACAAGGACATCGATTGCAGTGAGATTTATGACATGTATGGTAAATTGTTTGGCGACGCTTGTGATTCAACGAAGTATGCATTGTCACCAACAAAGTTGTTAGAACAGGGTTTTCACTTGGGCACAGATATGATAGAGATCATGGAGGCGACAAATTATCCATCAATGCAGAGAAAATGAATTCTAGTGACAACCCCATCGAAGATAGGAGCTACTCCTCTATGAATATATTTGGGAAACACAATGGGTTTAAAAGGAAATGCAAACATGGGAAGGAGAAAGGAAAGAAAAAAAGTACGATGATAGAGAGGTTTTTACTTCTCTTGAGCAAGTGGTTAGTATTGGAACAGATCTTGCCTCAATTTGCAAGATCTCATCAAAAGGCAGAAATGTTGATCGACGAGTACGTGAGCGAACTGCTGTCGTCTAGCTTGTAGATGATGAGGTGTTGCTCCACCTGTTTGTGCTGTGGATCCTACGTGTAGAGGAAAATGGGAACTCGTACTTTGTTGTCAAGACACCACACACGAGGTTTAAGTTTGTCAAGTACTGCTTTGAGCACAACAATCAGTCCTTTCTGCACAAGGGATGAGCGCTAATCGACGTATGTGCACACGGGGCTATTCATTATACGCACTTTTTTTCATATTTTTACATTTCGTATGTTGGACATCTATTTATTTCTTGTATTTTTCTGAACGGCGTGTGTAACTTTTAATTTTGGAACGTGTTTGTAATGTGTACATTAGCTAGTACTCATTTCCTGCTTGACAAATGCTTGCTTTTTAAAAATTGGGAGCTTTTATAATAATCCAAAATATTGGCAATGAGTGCTTTTGCATGGGATATAGTATCGTAAAAGTTGATATTGCATTGATGGAATGTAACTGGTCCAAAGGCCCATTATTGCACAAGTTTCTTTCTATAAATGAGATAGACACCTAATTCACATATTCTAACTTAGGCAGAGTGCTAGGAACCAAGTGCAATAGAAGAAAACCAAATACTCGTTAGAATAATTGAAGATTATTTGTAAGTGCTGCCTTTCATTTTCGTTTTGGAACTCACTACCTTCGTAATTATATATTGTCCGTGCCATCAAACAGATGTCGGACTACTTGGCAGTGTACTCATGTTCGAAAACAGATTGCTACATCGAGTATATGTCTGATTTCGATACGAGTTTTGATGAAGATGTAATGCAGCAGTTGGACTGTTGGAAGAGAACATAATCATGTGGCTCGAATATGGTAGAATAGCCGAGTGCAAGTATTTGGCTCCGAATAGAATGCTTTGGTATTTGTTTCCCACAACGCAATTTGGACACATTTTCATACTACAAAATATGTACATTTATCCACTAACTTGTTTTCTAGAGTTTAGGATGTATCCTCCAATGTTTATGTGCTTTGCGCATATTTTGCGCTACAAAATCGAGCAACGCAAGCATCGATATATATGAATAGGTCGAAATGTTCTTGTATACATTGGCACAGGGTAAAGACTATTGTCGAGTTCAAACTCTATTCAGTCATTCATTGCATACTATCTGTCATTATTTTATGAAGGTCCTTTGTGCATGCCTAGCATTCTCAGGGAACATGATAAAACTAGATTCGAGGTACAATGAAGGCACAGCGCACCATCATCAAATCTTAAGCACTATCTCCTATTTTTAGGTTTGCATCGTATAATTGATGAAACGCATGCGAAAACTGTTTAAGGTGATTCCAACAGAGAATGTTTTAGGCATCTGCGATTTGAATCTTTTTTTCACGTTTATATTGTTGGGAACCACAGGTAACGCATATGATAGTTGCATGTTGGCTCGAACTGTACATAGTTTAGAGGTCAATTTTTTGCAACCCGCGAATGAAAAATAGTACTTGGTCGACTCCGGTTCACACATAAGCTTGGGTATATGACATCTTATAAGGGTTATGATATTATATATCATTTTCAAGAATTTGGCAATTTTGGAGATGGGGAATGCCGCCGTTTTCGAAATGCACGTGAACAATTTAATTTTCATCACTTCTCGTGCCGTAACGTTATCAAGCATGTATTTTGTGTTTGGAAACAGAGATGGAAGAGCGCAAACTGTCGTGGTTACGACCATATTAGGAATACATAATTTCTTATGGAGAAACAGTTGGCTGGTTGAGGGGTTTATGAGAGACGAAGAAGTGGACGACGATGAAGCTGAGATAGACCTACCGAATGAAAAAGATGAAATTGTTGTCGAACAAGATGCAATGGTTGAAGAGGACATGCTGTGACAACTACTAGCTGCTATACACTTATATGGCACAGGCGCTACGTCAAAAATTTTGCAATGCTTTTTTTTTCGTATGTAACATGTATTCATAATTTCGCTAAACAATCAAGTGTCGAGGAACACTTCTTCATTTTGTCGTATTTGAGCATGTATATTTTCTGGTCGAAATTATCGATGTTGTTCATTGAAAATAAATTTATATGCTTCTCGTGGCCTAATGGTTGACATCAATAAAAAATTCCACAAATATGCTTATGCAGACATCTATTATTCAAAATGAATCCGTAATTTCATATTCTTTAGGAATTTCTTTTCTTGAAAATAAAAAAATTCAACTTAAAAGACCAAACGCATGTGCCATCCTTTCTTGTCGGGGAAGCCATCCTTATTGTCTGACATGGAGCCCAGCATAGTTGAAAAATGGCCCAAAAAAACTTTGTCAAAAATGGGGCCAAACAAAAGCTAAATATAAATTATTAAATACCTGAATTGCCTTTTAAGCCTTAATTCCATGGCCTATTGTCAAAACTAATCACGTCAATTAGTAAACCTTATCATTCATTTCGTTAACTGCGGCGAATTGATTTTTAATTGTGCAGAGGCATAAAATTTATTCTTCTATATGTGTCTTTTTTTTATTAATTGCATTTTGTTACACAAATTTAAGCACGTTTCCTCAACTAAGATGTTAATTAGTTTTAAAAGTCATTCCAAATTAAACTTTACTATTTATACACTGATTTTTCTACACTTCGATTGACACTTGCATTGTTGTCAAGTGTCAATTGGATAAAAAAATTGTTTGAAATTTAAACTGTTCAATAAGATAATGACACGTCATAAAGTGTAAACTAAAGTGTACACCATAATGTACGTACATGTAGTAAGGCTCTTCCAAATTCTAGTGTCACCGATTGATAATTTCAATGAAATATGTTAAAATTTAACCATTTTCAATAAATTGTGAGTTCATAAGGATTTCATTAATAAAAAGATTTCAAAATACTTGAATGGATTTCAATCTTAAAAACACACATAGCAAGCTATTTTGAAATTTCACCATTTTTAGTTTCTGTTTGGTGTGAATTAAATATCAAATTTTTAATAATTTTTGATAAAAATTGATAAATATGTGGTTGAAAAGTTATGAGATTCATGAAAATATAATTAAAATTGATTGTCGATTTTAACTTAAATTTAAATCTAAATTTTAATCATTATGAAGGAGAGTCATTGAGATTTTTATAATCTTTTAAAATCTCGACGCTATGTAATGTAAATGTCTCATTTCAAGAAAAACTTCATAATCACAGTCCATTTAAAGAAAACCGCATGCCCAGACTGTTCATTTCCAACAGTTTCCTCTCACACAAAGCACCCATACGAGAAAGCTGAGTCAAGAAAAGCTTGAGCCCATTTTTTCCTCTCTATTAACTCTTTGATCTTCAACAATGGAAGGCCCTTCAGAAGACAATCTTACCATGGAAGTGAGAGAGGAGGAGATGATTTCACCACTGAATGGAGATTCGTCTCTCAGAATAGCCCATTTTCTCAGGCCTTCTGTCACCTTTATCGATGGTCCAGTTCCTGACCCTCCGTTGGATTCTGTGAATCCCACCATGATCGAAAGCTCTGTGCATTTGAAAGCAAATTTTGCTGGGTGGAGACACCCACAGAAAGAATGGAAAACTTGGGTAAATCGCATGCAATGTTTGCACCATTCTACCTGGAGACAAGCTGGGATTCACGATGCTATAATAAGCTCCACGTTCAAGATTAATCGAAATACTGATCTGATTTTAGGGGTTGCGGAGAAGTGGTGTTCGAAGACTAACACATTTGTGTTTCCATGGGGAGAAGCTACGATCACCTTGGAAGATATGATGGTTCTTGGATGTTTTTCGGTTTTGGGAGACTCGGTTTTGAGTCCCACTGGAGACCTAGAGTTGGAAATGACTGTAGATAAATTACAAAAGGCGCGCTCAGATATTGCCCGGGGTAAGGCAAGGAAAGCCAGCCAGTCTACCTGGATGGTTAAATTCATGGACAGTGGTAGCAAAATCGAGCACGAAGCATTTCTTGCTCACTGGCTGTCAAGGTTTGTCTTTCCAGTATGCGACTGTGATACGATAGGAAGAACTGTTCTCCCCATCGCAGTCTGTTTAGCTAAAGGTGCTAAAATTGCACTTGCACCTGCAGTTCTTGCTACCATTTACAAGAATTTGAGTTCACTAAAAGTGGCACTTCTTGCTTCAAGAAAATTAGGAACTAGAGAGAATATTCGTGAAGTTAAGCTTACAGCCCCATTACAACTGGTTCAAGCTTGGGTTTGGGAGAGATTTCCATCACTATGTCCCAAGCCTAATTCAACTAAACCTGGTGAGCCAAGATTGGGTCGATGGCACGACTTAAAGAAAGTGGGAACCATGAATGTGTCATTGGCTATAGATCATGCTGCTAAAGATTTTACTTGGCGCCCTTACATGAGGGCTGAAAACAGCTCCTTACCTCGCATGATTTACAAGGAAAAAGATTATCAGGTATTGGTTGACTCTTGTTTGGGTGATGAATTCGAGGGGCTTGTTCGATGCTTGAGAACAAGCGAGCTTGTTGGCCTAGAAGTAAAATGCATAGAGCAATATCTCCCACATCGCGTGGCCATGCAATTTGGCATGGATCAAGATATTCCAGGTTGTGTAGCACGAGTTAATGAGAGAACTGATATTGCGTGGCGTAATTACACTAGGAAAATTGGAGATGCCATATTGTATATACCAGCGCGACTTTTTGAATCAGATGTCACAATTCGATACATGAAATGGTGGAAGAAATTAAGGTTTACTAGAATTGGGATGACCGAGATTCGTGAAGAAGGAAAGAGTACATCCAGGGGATCTGAAATAGAAGAAAGGAAAGGCTTCCCCAAAATGAATAAAGTGTGGTGACACTTAAATGAACACGTGGATGTTTGTTATAGAACAAAACATTGGAGACCCGTCGAGAGATTCCACATGGATAACTATCTGAGTGTCAGTGGTTAATCTCTAACGTTCGGTAGTGAAATTGGTCCTTTGACTTGAGGTCGTCATGGTACCTTATATGAGGACAGTCATACTTTGGCGGTGTTAGATGTTGCTCTGAAAAGAGCCGCTAATACGACATCGTTCGGGTACGTCAAGAATCATATGAAGGTTGTGATTAATCAATAAAGGATTCGTCACTCTTAGATAGTAGGAGATTATGATCTGCGTTTCATTCAATTAAGTCAATGATGAAATCCTTGGCCAAGGTGTACTCATAAGTCGAAAAGGAGTTTTCGATTT